GGATTGATACATTTGTTTCCAAAAGAATTTGTTACATTGGCGAAAGTGCTGAAGGAAAGCTCACTCCCCCTCCTTACGGAGAAAGCAATGGAGCACAGAAAAACCTGCTTTTTAAAGGTAAAAATAAGCTCTTTGTTATAAGTGGGAAGGAGAGGACTAAAAATTTTTTTTAAAAAAACTTTGTTGGAGGAGACGCCTTGAAGATTACAAGACCATTAATTAATGGTAATACGGCTTTTAAAATACATTTGGGATTTTGCCTCTGGAGGAAAAACTGTAAAGAGAAGAGGAAATAATTTTTGTTTGTTTGGATTGTTTGATAACTCTGACATTTGGAAATTACTTTAAGATTGAAAGCATCTGGGTTGTTTTTAAAAACCTATAATGGTACCATCTGTTGATGAACTGAAAATGGAATATGAAAAATTAAAAGAAAGACAACAAAGTGGCAAGGATTCCTTGGGAGCTGCCTTCCATTTTTTAGAAATGGTGGTTTCTACATACCAGCAAATACTGGAGGAAGGAGAAGGAGAAGAAGAAGAAGAAAAGGAAGAAGCCATCTTTAATGAACTAAAAAGTTTGACTAAGAAAGAAAATGGGAAGAGAGGAAGGAAAAATGAGAATTTAAGATTTAATAAAACAACCAAGAAAAAGAAAAATAGGGTGAAAAGAGGGTACAATGTTAGAAAGCAATTGAAAAGAGAATTACAACAGAGAGGGAAACTTAAAAAGGGGGAGAGGAGAGGGGGGGGCAAAAAGACCAGATTGGAGAAGAAAGGGAGGGAAAAAGAAAAAAAAAGCCACGGACTAGAACAAGATTTTAAAAAGAAAGTTTTTTTTAGAGACAAAGGATGATGGATAGTGTATAATTAAAGAAGATTCTGCAAGAGTGCATAAGATAGTATTGTAGTATTTGCATTTGAAATAGTTTATTGGAATATTTAATAAAATATTAATGTTTAATAATGATAGATGTTGATATTTAATAAAATATTAGGAGAATGTGCTAAATGATTAATGCTTAGTTAAAGTTTAATTTGTTACTGTTTTAATGTTATTATAACGTTAGTATTTTATTTTTTTATTCTAAAACAATGTACTTATCAGAATTAGAATTAGAATAGAAATTATACATTTAACTATACTATAAGTTTACTATTCTTTTATTTTAAGATTTAATATGTAGAATGTACTAAGCAGAAACAGGATGGAAATTATGTATTATTTTAAGCTTTATTTTAGGAGAAGGCGTCATACTTCAAAAGTGATTACAGGGGAAATTTTTTGTTAAAGAGAAGAGATAAATAGATGTTTGGTAAAGAACGGACAAAAGATATAAGTATAATGACTTTGAAATAAGATGAAATAAATAAAATATAATTAAGAGAGTGAAAAGATGGGAGAAGTTATATAGAAAATACAAAATGGTTAATAAGATATGAAGGGTATATAAGGTGGGCATGAATTTGATTTAGGTCTGTCAAAAAAGATGTAACCTGGGGCCAAGTCACTTTTCAAAAGAAGTTTTATGTTTTATGCTTTGTGTGTGGATTATTTATGTTTGATTGTAAATTAATAAAATCTTGGAGAAATGAAATCAAAGGGAGAGAAATTGGGAAAAGACATGTATAAATGATAACTAAGGAGGTTTTTTTTTTCTTTTCCAATGTTTTGCTTTAGGTTATGTATTTTGTGTGCTTATGACTGATTGAGAATTACTAAAACTTTGATAGAAAGAAATATAATTGAATAAAAATGAAGGGAGAAATAATGAGAAATTTGGAAAAGATATATATGTGTAAATGGAAATGTGATAATGTGGAACTATGTTTTAAAAAAATAATGCTTTATTTGCCTTGTTAAAATTTATAAGTAATTCTTAGAAAGGAGGTTTTATACTTTTATGTGTTATATTTTGTTTGTCTTCAAAAATCAATAAAACTTGTTCTTAAAAAAAAACATTAAGAAACTATAGAGAAAAACAACGAATACATAAATTTCAAGATGAAGAAGGGGAGATATACCATGACGAGAATTCAAAAAAAGATATTGCCCAGAGATTCTACATGAAACTATACACAAGAAATGAAAGTTACTCAAAAGAAAGGATCAGGGCATATTTAAGCAAAGCCGAATTACCAAAGATTCCAGAAATTATGAAACCAATGTTTAACGGAGAAACTACTATGACAGAAGCGGTTAAGGCAATCAACAAACAAAAAAATAACAAAGCATCTGGCCCAGATGGCATTCCAGTTGAGCTATACAAAACATCGGAACACCTTGAATCCATACATATTAGAGATCTTCAATGCAGTACTTTATGAAGGGAAAAATATCAAAATCATGGAGAGAGGCTAATTTAGTGCTGATTAAAAAAGAAGGTACCGACCAGACATGAATTCAAAATTATATCTCTCTTTAAATACAGATTACAAAATATTCACAACGATTGTGACTGAGAGACTCAAAAATTATTTAAATAAATTCATACATAGTGATCAGAATGGCTTCCTCCCACATAGACAAACAAAATACAATGTGAGAATAGTCTTAAATGCTCGTGAATGTTATGACAATCACAGTGACCAATAGGCAGCCTTGTTATTCCTAGACACTCAGAAAGCTTTTGACAACGTAAATTGGCTTTTTTAAAATACAACAATTAAAATACATGGATATTGGTGAAAATTTCTTAAATACAATTACGGCAATATACACACAACAAGAAGCAAAAATAATATTAAATGGAGAATTGACAAGCAATTTTTACATACAAAAAGGCACGAGACAAGGCTGCCCTCTATCTCCATTATTATACATATACACATTAGAGGTCTTAATGAGAATAATTAGGCAAGAGCCCAGATCAAAGGACTGGAAATTAAAAAATAAAATTTTAAACTACAAGCATATGCCAATGACTTAGTATTTTGGGGGGGAAGATCCTGAACAAACAGGTCCAAAATTACTAGAAAAACTTGAAGAATACGGAGAAGTAGCTAATTTGAAAATAAATAAAGATAAAACAAAAATCATAATTAAGAACATGACCAGCAAAGAAAAAGAAAACCTTGTGAAGTTATTAGATATTCAAATAGTGCAAAAAACAAAATATCTAGGAATCACTATCTCGGTACATTGCTCAACAATTAAGGAGGATAACTATAAGAACCTTTGAAACAAATTAAAAAAGATTTAGAAAATTGGAATAACCTTCAACTATCATTAATAGGCAGAACTTTGGCAATTGGAATGAACATATTACAGAAAATCTTGTTTCTATTTCAAAATATACCGATTAAATTAGATTTTTTTTAAAAGATCTGAATAAAATGATGTTAAATTTTGTGTGGCAGGGTAAGAGACCAAGAATTAAATTAAAACATTTACAAGATGCAAAAAAAGAAAGAGGGGATTAGGCTTTCTGGATTGGGAATTGTATTATCAAGTGGCTTACCTTAACATGGATTAAGGATTGGATAAATTTGGGAAAAAAAAGACTCCTACTTTTAGAAGGGCATAATGTACAACATGGCTGGCATGCATATTTGTGGCTCAGTAGACATACGACACAACAATATTTTTTGAGGCACAAAATCCAGCAAGCTCTAGTCTTAATTTGGAATAAAATAAGAAAGTAACACTATATGGAAACTCCAAGATGGATCTCTTCCTTAGAAGCAATATCATATCTGAATCTCTGCAATCAAAAAAAAGGCAATTACATATAAAGATATTTTAACAGATGAAGGGCAGTTAAAACAAAGACTGGAACTTAGCCAGCAAGGTATAATGTTGGAATGGTGGGCATATCTCAAAGTACAATCTCGATATGAAAGGGACAAAAAAGAAAGGGGAATCAATTGCCAAGATATAATATTAGATAAAATATTATTAGGATCAGAGAAGAAACAAATAAATAAATTGTACAATTATTTATTAAATTATGAAATGTATGAAGAGCAGGTGAAAGAACCAATGTTAACGTGGGCTAGAGAGTTTGGCCATAACATAAACTTAGATCAATGGCAGCAAATTTGGGATTGGAATAAAAAGATTACGCTAGCCACATCCTACAAAGAAAATCTGTTTAAGAGGTTGTACAGATGGCACCTTCCACTGGCCAGGCTAGCCAAAATGTATAGATCTCAATCATCTACATGCTGGAAATGTTCAAGAGAACAGGGCACTTATTATCATATGTGGTGGGAGTGCAAAAAAAAAATACATACAAGAATTTTGACATAAAATTTGGATAAAAGAAATGTTGGATCTAAAAATTAATTACATACCAGAAATGTTTTGAGAATAAATGAGAACTTTAAAAAAGCAGATATTTACTTAATCATTCATGTAAGTAGAGCTGCAAGGTTACTACTTGCCCAAACATGGAAGTTAAAAGAAATACCAAATGACAAAGCAATAATAGAAAATATTTTTCAATGTGCTGCATTAGATAGTATGAGTGAGACTCTTCAGAATTCAATGCAGTATGGGAAAATGTATGGAGGGATATAAAAGGAAGTCTACAAAATGCGGATTGGAATTTAAGATGAGATTGAATTGTAATATGAGGAAAAAAATGATATAAAGAGTTAATGTAAATATGTATATAGCTGTACATATGTATAAAAATGCTTATATTGTTTAATGACAACTTGCTTATGTAACGATGTATAGATTAACATATATGTGAAAAAAAGTTCACCACGTTCAATGTTTTTAAAGTTTAACTTCAATAAAAAAATTTTTTTTTAAAAAAAGCAATACTATGATATGTTGATGATACCTGGCAATCAATAACATTAGATACCTGCCACTTGCTCTGCCAACTGCTGGTCAGCTAAAATCCAGGGAGCACTGGGCTTTTTAATAGAAGCTCCACCAGGCAAGACTCCAAACTATCTGGAGAAGCTCAGCTGCAAATCAGACCCTCATTTGATTTATTGGCCACTCAAAGCCTGGGACTGATCCGCCGTCTTTTGCTCCCAACTCACCTGGAAGGGGGACATCTCGGTGGAGGAGAGGTCCTTGAACCAGCTTGCCCAGCTCCGTGTTCACACCCACATAGGCTGTCTGGGAACACACCACTCCAGAGCTCAGGCTTGTCTCTAGCGCCAGGAGCCGCTTTTCCTCCACCGTCTCCTTGTCCTCTTCTAATTCCTGCAACAGAGCCTGAGCTGCAAGACGGTGAACAGGGAGCCTGCACAGAAAGGGCAGGGATGGATAGAGAAAGGGCTGACATTACATCACACACCAAGCCTTAATTGATTGTCAGTTCCTTCTATATCATGGTTTTCTGCCCAGAGGGTCAGCTGACAGTAAATACAGGAAAAAGTTAATAGCAACGGCTTGTTTTGCACTTTAACTCATGAAGCTGAAAAATCTAGGCTAAAAAGACCTCTCCTTGTTCAGTCTCTTCTCTGAAAAGAGAAAAAGCAGAGCCTGAATGTATCCCTTGGGGAACACTTCTATAGCCTGGAAGTAATATGAAATAACACGTTTTATTTTGCATTGACTTGGGCTGTTGGACTTTAGTCAATCAATGTCTTCTTAACTATGTTCATTCTGAAAACTGACAGAACAATTATGAAACCAGCCAAATCTCTTGGCTAAAGGATATGAATCCAGAGGGCAAGAGATGACACACACATCTGAGCAATAAACTTGATTAAGGTGGTGGCTTCCTACTTTCATTTGGCATTAACATACAAAGGACATATTATCTCCAAGAAGAAATGACTGTGCTGGGTGAAAAGCACCTCTCTTTGAATCAACAAAACAGCTTCATCTTTTTTTTGGTTCATAATCTACTCCTGGCTGCATCATGTATGAAGAGATAGCTAGGAGCAGCTCAGGAAGAAACTCTGTGAATCTGAAAAAAGAGGCATCTGCTTCAGGATTCAGAGACATGATTTGAATGTGCTCCCACTAACACACTCATGTGCCTCTTTTAAAGGGTTTGTTCAGACTTGGGTTCCACCTTGAAGGAAAAGTTCTGGGCTCTACCTGTCTGTCTTCTCAAGTTGGAGTGAGAACTTTGTTGTTTCTGTGGGACTCTCATTTTGGAAATTATACCGAACAATGGCTGTCCCCTCCATGGAGCCTGTCATCTGCATAAAAACAAAAGGAAGGGGAAAAGAAGGAAAATTCTTTCTGAGAACCAGGATGTTTTGGAATTAGAGCTGCCAAGGAAGGGCCACTGAAATACCCTTAGCTGAGCCAGCACAAGTCATAGTCCACACCACAGCAGGGAGGATTTCTCAAGTTGGTGGGCCTCAGGTGGATCACTTGCCTGAAGTTGGCCCTGGATCTGGGCATAGATGAGGCAGCGCTGACCTTGGAAAATGACCCGAGGGCCTGACCCCACAGGTTTGGCCTCAAGGCCAGATGGCAGTTCCCAGTTCAGAGAGATCCCCGATACCGCTGGCTGAAGCGCCTTCTTCAGACTTTGCAAAGCCTGCAGGAAACAGGAATTTTATGAAGAAGCAATATAAGATTTCAGCATCCTCTGAGAAATAAAATACAAAATTTATTTTTAAAATGTCAAGGTTATTACTGCTCTAGTATACAGCTTATGAAATAGTGTCTTTAAAAAAAAAGCTTTGACTAAACCAGATGTTCTATTCTGCTTCATACACACACACACAAACACATCACACAAATGATTTCTGGACTTTGAGGCACCTGCCCTAACAATTCACAGAATATATCTACATCTCTAAATATATACATGTAGATATCTGTATAGTTATGCAGATAGTTGCTTTAGTCTGGCAAGATCCTATTTGTAGACGACCAACAATAAAGAAACTGCTCTGAATAAATCTTCGTATTGTTCTTGGTTCCTTGGGCCTGACCCTGGAGCAAATTCAGACAAAGGCAGGACAGGAAATCAGGGAATTAGAAACTAAGCTTTACGAGGAGAAACTGAAGGAGGTTGATATGTTTAATTTTAAGAAAAGGTGGCTGAGGAGGGATATGGTGGCATTTTCAAATACCTATTGGTAATGAATTGCATGACCTTAAAAACTTCTAAATAAATTGTAGGGGGCATGCATAAGTGCACCAATGTACTTACTGTCCCTGTCCTAGTGTTTCTTTTATTTTTCTTATATGTATTCATTTCATGTATTCATAACTATGTTTATCCTTATACTTATTATCTTGTAAGCAATTGACAAATTAAATAAATAATAAATAAATAAACTCATGGCTCTGAGCTCCTAAATGAAAGGAAGGATATAAATCCAAGAAACAAACAAACAAGCAAGATTAATTATCTTATTCCAGAATGTAGGATATGGCATATTGGATTTAATTTGAAGAAGACGGATTCTGGTTGAAAGTCAGACTAATCTTTTTAATAAGAACAGTTCAACCGGAACAAGTTACTTAGAGAAGTAACCAAGCTTCCATTCATTTGATGTGTTCAGATGGAATGAAACAAATTAGGATGCTTCAATTTGGGTTTCTGCTCTTAAAAGGGCACTAGACTCAATAGCCTAAATAGTCTTTTTTATGATTCTATGAATTAAATCTTGTAACTTTAATTAATACTAAATAAAATGTTTCACACTGAGTTGACATTTCAGAGATATTTCCTTAGTGCTATTTCATCCCATCTGGAGGCTTCTAATCTAGGAACAGCTATGACATAATAATTTTATTATTAATCCTCAAATCATACAAATAATAAGACAAGTATGTGCATCTACTACCTCAAAATGTTCCTATACTTGTACTTCATAAAGAATATGCATTATAAATCAAAATAAACAACAGGATTTCTCATTCGTTCTTGTCAAAACCAAAGAACTGCATCCATGTAATTTCTGATGACCCCTCCCCGCCTTTTTTCAAAGATATTAAGCTGGTACAGCTGATATAACTACAAGCTCAGAGAGTGCCAAGGACCCTATAGTTTAACCCACCGAGCTACAAATATTTTCTTCTATCGGTAACTTTTAAATAATTAAGTGGCCGTGTCAATGGATATTCTCAGTCATCCAGGTAATGGTTGTCCCAAAAGTGTCCCCCCCCACACACAAAAAAAGTAACTGGACTTTGTTTTTTCCTTGAAAACATTTCACTTCTTATCCAAGAAGCTTCTTCAGTTCTGGCAATTAAGTAGCAGCTTAAAAGATGCTAAACCCTATAGCTACATGCCAATGACATGCAGCAGAGCTAAAACACATGAAGAAGAAGAGACCTCACTTTGGCCTGCATGCGTTCTTTGCCAGTGATGAATTCAGCACTGCCTCCAGCAGCTTGAGCAATGCCTTTGACCAGGGATGTGGAAGCTCCTTCCCCTATGCCAAAGGAGAAGCATCTGTTTGGTGGGAAGAAGAGGGGAAGAAGAGGATAGAAGCTGATGGAAGCCAAAAAAAAAATGAACATTATGAAAACAATTTCTCTTTCTTTGCTTACCTGTGGGAGCCACTATTACGCCTAACTTCAGCAATGACCTCATTTGTATTAAACACCTCTCCATCAGTGAACAGAAAAATCTGTGAAAATGGAGAGAGCAATGACGTCTAGTCTGACTACCAAGTTATTTGGAAGCAAGTGAGAAGAAATATAATAACTTATGGCTAGTTTCAAAGGACAATGAGACTGGAAGACAACAAAGCTGTGTTTAACCAGAACTGGTTCTCTATACAGTGGACCACATTCTTTATAGTCAACTCCTGCCTGTGCACACATTGTTGTTCTCTTGTGTTCTTTCCATCAAATTTGCAGCACTTTCCCACTGCCTGCTTTAAACTTTATCTCTTTTGTTTTATACGTATACTACACAGTAACTTTCTCTCTTTGTTTAGCGTTTTGTCCTAAGCATTTTTCTCTTATGTACAGTTTCTTTTGTTTCATCATTCTATCAACCATTTTTTTTTCCTGTGGTCATTCTATTTTTACTCGTTTTCATTTCTTTCCTTTCTTTCCCTTGCCATTTCCCCAAGTTTCCTTTTTGACATTACAAAAAAAATATATTCCATTACCAGAATATCTTCTTTTATAGAATCTTTCACTAAGTCTTTCAGTCATTTATTATAAATAATCAAATCAGTCTTGGATTTAGAATTGTTCTTTCATTTATATATATGAGTAGGCTTATACTTAAAACAATACGCAGACCTTTTTCTAAGCAGATAACTCACCAGTCACCATTCATTCATTCTTGGATGCCAATGGATCATGTAAATTCAAAATATTGCACAATTGTTCAAAAAATATAATTGGTTTTCAAACAGGAAGCTTTGCTCTCAGTCTCCCATGCCTTTATCATTCTTTGTTTTGCACAATGCTACTTATGTTGAAAGGAAATAACGTGATGAGCATATATTGTATATATATATATCTACAACCTATAGCAAATTTTCCTCATATTTCTGAATGTGAGCATTACTATATACTTTTATTATAAAACTTTTTGTGAGTGTGCTTAATCTTGATTCTATATGAAAGGGAAGATGACCCTATTATAACTTTAAATACCTGTCGAGGATGTCCTTCAAGGTATGGCTGACTGTAAATGGCCTTCAGGGGCTTTATAATCTCTGTGCCTCCCAAGTCACAATCCAGCTCCTTCACACATTGGACAGAAGTGCTCATGCTCTCCTGGGTGTACTCCACACTCTGCCTGCAGAAGGTGCCAAAGAGTGAAGCTCAGCCAAGTTTCCCCAAACTACCTTTTATATACAGTACTCCCCATCCGTAATAATGTAACTCCCCTTTGCCACCTCATTGCATTATGGCCCTAGAATTCAGTACTGGGGATAGAAAAGGGTATATATGTTAACCACCAACAAGACCAAAAAGGACAATATAATACTGCATGATCTGAGATCCAGAATGAGACCTCAAGGTTGCTCCAAGAACCTTTTAGCACTTGCCACCCAATTATAATTTTCACTTCACTAGGAGGGGAAATTATTGAATATGTAGAGAGAATGACAAGTGCATTTAATTTATGTAAGTTTCTTGAGATTTCAATCAAATTTAGCTTCAGTCATGGTCAGATCAATTTTTTTGTCCTTTTTAACTTAGTATTTTTTAAAAAACAAAGAAACAGAAACAAATAAATAAGCAATGCATTTGATTTTTCCAGGAATACTTCATAGAAATAAATAAGAACTGGAGAAGTTAAAAGACAAATGGCCTGACAAGAGGCAATTTTTAAAACTTACGGGTAGAATGATTCATAAGTAGAGCCAAAGCCATAGATGTTGAAGTAACATCCCAGAGGGAGACTCTTAAGCAAGAAAATCAGGGTTTCCTGAGATGGAGTCATAAATAAACATCCTGAGTTAGTTTCCAGGTACAGGAATATCAAAGAACCATGTCTTCTTTAATTCTCATTTTACAAAATCTGTTGTTTCTAGATGCTGGATTAGGAGATTTAGATTTCAGGTCTCATTCCTAAGCCTCATTTTCTCACTTACTTAGTCACTGATCTACTTTTCAGGACCAGGGACATCATATTGAGCAGCTTGAGGAAAATCCTAAGCATGGAGTGAAAACACTGTACTCATCTTATACTTGTAGACTACAAATCATCGTTTCAACCTATCAATTCACCCATAAGATACCTTGGCACTCTGAATGCGTGTTGGTGAGCCACAACTGTTATCCATGGTGGTATTCATGCTGCCAGAGCGATCTAGCAGGAAGATTAACTCTCCAGCAGCAGTATTATTTGGCTTGACAGCTGAAATTTTGGGGTACAGGGTCAGCAGAAGGGCTGGGTCCCCCATCAGTGAACCTATATTTTTGTAGGAGGTAAAGATATCAATAAGCATTTTCACTCAAGGCAGGGCTTTTCCAATTCTCAGTAACTTTTCATTCCATGCACATGATAACCTAATGCCAAAGATGAGAGGCATGCTAATAGAGAATGCAGAACTGTAGTGGAGAGGCACAGATTCTTCACCTGTGCCTTCAACTTTGCTAACCTGGGGTAGCTCCAGACTTCCCAGCTTCTAAAATGGCGCTGGTCTTGTGAACATCTTCATAATATATAAGCAGTTCCACATCACAGCCAAACTGGTGTCCTTCAGCCAAGGAGACCTTTGGGAAGATAAGTAAAATCAAAATTCTTTCAGGTTGTAGTTCTAACACTGCTGTAGACTCTAGGTCAGTAATGGTGAACCTGTGACATATGTCAAAGATGACATGCCAGCATTCACCACAGCTAATTTCCCCCCCAAAAGTATGTCCCATTATTGTACAATTTTTAGAAGCTTCAGAAACTGCCCAAGAACAGTGTGTGCTCTTGCACAGCCAGATCCTTAGATGTTGTGTGGCCTCCAGAGCTTCTAAAAATATTTTATTTTAGTCGTATTTCATTTTTAGTTATTTGATATTTTTTATGTAATACATGGCATGGCATGATTGAACTGCATTTATTAAAAATAAATTACTGTATAAAGAATTATTTCTCTTTTATTCTGAGCAGCTCTACCTGTGCAATAGTGTGGTCCTCCGTCATATATTGCAGAGGATCTAGACTGCATTTTGACTCTACACGGTTGATGCCATAAGGGGACTCCATCCTGGCATTGAGGCTGAGTATGTAGCACAGATCTTTTGTAAGCACATGTACTTTATTAACAGTTCCCTCTTCAGAACCTGCTAAGAGAAATCACATTTGAGATTCTGCCTATAGAAAGTGGAGAGGCTCCTGTGGGGATAGTAGCTCATGAAACTGGGGCACTAGGACAGCAGTTAAAGAGGATAGATTGGACCAGGACAGCTCAGGTTCATAGCCCAATATGGCCACGATCCTCACTCTGAATTTGGATTCCAGCAGATGTTTGCTTGAACTCCAAAGCTACACAGGGAGGAATACAATTACTACTTGGTTACCACTGAAAAAGCCAATGATAAATTAGTCCTGGCAAGAAAAGGAGTCACAGGAATCCTACTCAAATTGTAGAATGTGTACTTTTGTCCTAGTCCCTCAGCTTGCAAATCCAGCCTACTTCATGAAGATGGTATGAGAAGAAAATAGAAAGGGGAGAAAAGATATATCAATATTTCTTTTCAATTTGGGAAGAAAAATAATTGGATAAGATAGCTGAAAGTCTTCAGGTTCTTTGCACCTTCTTCTATTCATCTGGAGGGTACCACCTTGCAAAAGTCTGGTCTATTTTGAATTCTACCCATTAATAAAAATAAAGAAAATGGTGCCGTGTTTCTCCAATAATACGGCCTCCCCCAATAGGAAGTCCCAGCATGTTTTATAGGTATAAAATCAAATTAAGCCCTTCCCCCCAAATTAAGGCCTATATTAAACATGCAATATGGGGGGGAATGGCGGGGGGGCCTTGCTGTTAGGAAGTACTTTTGTTGCATACCCGGATATGGTGCTGCCCGCATTGACTTTGGCGTTGGTGGGGCACTTAGTATCAGGACACCTTCTACCACCATTGCTTTCCCTTCTCCCTGTGCTGCTGTGGCGTTTAGAGCAACATTGCGGCATTTGGCGCAGCCATGCTCGGCCAGCCAGGGCTCCTCCCTGCAACTGGAACCCGGCGGAGACACTTGGCTTCAGGCGCTCCTGTTGCCGCCTTCCCTTCGCCTTCAAAGGCAAAGCCAATTCTTTTAAAAATGACGTCCTATTACTGGTACAAGAGGGCAGCCCAACCCCACGTGGGGAGGTGAATCTCCCGGGGCTGCAGTGCAGGATCGGCCCACCCCGAGAAAGAGCGCCTAGCCACCATCCCTGCCTGGCAGCGGGCAGAGCGTGAAGAGCTTTGCCTGGGGCGCCCAGTGCAGCTGACAGGTGGGCCCTCCTGCCCGGCAGCAGAGCTCTCGCCAAGGCAGCGAGCTCCTCCCTGCCGGGCCCTCTGCTCATCCTGCCAGGGCTGCGCCAGAGCCGTGCGGGCTGGGCAGAGCCATGAAAGCGAGCTGCGGGTGCACGCCCGCCTGCCAAGCAAAAGAGCTGGGCCGACCTGAGCTTCACTTCCTTCCCAAGTCCCTCCAGCCCAAACCCGAAGGGGCCACTGGGAGAGGCTGCCCGAGGCAGTGATAGCACCCACCTGTCTGCGGACAGGGAGGCGAGGCAATGGCAATGCTGCTTCCCTGGCCGGCAGGTCCAGTGGAGAGAGCCCGAAGCCGCCCATCCTTTCCACCCCTCACCTAGCCCGTCCCCATCCCCACGCATCTCCAAATGCGCCGGTAGCTCCAAATGCTGCAGTAGCACGGGCATCAGGCAGAGGTGCTCACTCGGCAGGGCTAAGCTTGGAGGACGCGGCACAGGCCATCGCCTTGCCTGTCCGTCCATGGATGGGTGGGCGCTATCACTGCCTCAGGCAGCCTCTCCCGGTGGCCCCTTTGGGTTCGGGCTGGAGGGACTTGGGAAGGAAACCAAGCTTGGGGTGGCCCGGCTCTTTCGCTTAGCAGGCGGGCGAGCACCCATGGCTCGCTTTCCCGGCTCTGCCCAGCCCGCATAGCTCTGGTGCGGTCCTGGCAGGATGAGTGGAGGGCCCGGTGGGGAGGCTCTTGCTGCCTTGGCAAGAGCTCTGCCGCCAGGCCGGAGGGCCCACCTGTCAGCAGCAGTGGGCACCCCAGGCGAAGCTCTTTGCACTCTGCCCGGCACCAGGCAGGGATGGTGGCTGGGCGCTTTTTCTTGGGGTAGGCCGATCCTGCACTGCGGCCCCGGGAGATTCACCTCCCCACGTGGGGTTGGGATGCCCTCTTGGGCAGGGGAGGCTTTGTCATACCGGTAGTAGGGTGTCTTTTTAAAAAGAATTGGCTTTGCCTTCGAAGGCGAAGTGAAGACAGCGACAGGAGCGCCTGAAGCCAAGTGTCTCTGCCGGGCTCCGGTTGCAGGGAGGAGCCCTGGCTGGCCATGCGTGGCTGTGCCAAATGCCGCGGTGTTGCTCTAAACACCGTGGCAGCACAGGGAGAAGGGAAAGCAACAGTGGCGGAAGGTCTCCCGATACGAAGTGCCCCACCAACGCTGAGGTCAACATCCAAGCCGTTGCCGCCCGCCCACCCACCCGAGGATGAAAGGGGGGGAATTAAGTCACCCCCCCCAAAAGACAGCCTAGCCATTTTTTCAGGGGTCAAAAAAAAATAAGGACTGGCTTTACTTTGTGAGAAACATGGTAAAATTAAATGGAAAGGATCAATGGCAGTATGTATCCTTCTCAAGCTTCTTACTTCAAGAGGTTTTTTTTTTTAATGGCAAATTATAGGTGTGTTTACACAATGTGACTGAAACACTGCTAGTTGCACATCCCCAAAGAATGTACAGAACATGTCAACTCCTAGCATTGTAAATTATGCCTTCATGTCTTGTATGAATCCAGCCACAGGATTTTAGGATGAAGCTGAGTTAATTATCCCAGTGCCTGACCACACTGAGCAGAAAGGGGAGTGAAGGGGCCCATTGGAGGCTTTACTTTGGGACTCCATGATGGACTTGGGAACAGTGTTAGTTACCTTCAGGAATGTAGCGGGGGTTCAAGACTGCTGGCAGGACAAAACGGACGGCATCATCTGGTTCCACTGCTAGTGCTTGAATGTAGCGCAGTTTCAGTGTGGCTTCCCCACCAGGAGGAAGATTGCCCAGGTTGCACGTGAAAATGTCACTGGTATTTTCTTCTCTCTCAAGCAGGAAAGCCTGGTGGCCTTCACTCAGGGCATCGTCGTATTCTTGCTCTGCCTGGGTTGAAGAAGAGGGAGAAAAAGGCAAGAAGATCACAGGTAATAATAATAATAATAATAATAATAATAATAATAATAATAATAATAATAATA